TAATAAAGCGAAAATTAAAAAAAAAAAAAAACACAACCCATTGCAAGCATAAGACATCAAACACCCGATATGGGCTGGGTACTGACCATGTTTGAGCTGAAGGGGACAGTAACAATATTTGGCTTTACAAAAACTTAATAAATTAATAAAATTTATAGCAATTGTCGTGATAATGACAACCCTCACCACAACTTTTTTTCCTAGAGTGCAAATAGAATCTAAAAGAAAAACCCATGACAAAAACCAGAAAAAAATTGTATTAAAACTAACAGTGATCTTCATTTATACTCGTTTTGTTCCATCTAACTTAGAGCGGTTGATTGCAACTATTTACAAGAGAGAAATGTTGTTATAACGGTCGAACAAACAAATCATTCATACACGACGTTCACGAATGTTGTTCAACAGCATTGCTTAAGACGAGAGATTCTACTGCTATTCGATTTTTCCAAAACCGGCAGATATGAAGTGACATAACCAGGTGCATGCATTCCTGTATCTTGTCACATCTTCATCGTTTATGGGAAAAAGAATGAATGGTAGAATGTTAAGATATTGTTGAACAAAGAATATAAAGATATGAAGAGCTCGTATGGAAATTATTATTTTTTAAAAAATAAAAAATTCCACCTTGTGTGTTTGAAAAAAAACAAATTTGAATAAGAAATTATCAAGGTGTGCTGATGTTTTTTTGTTGGTGTGCTGATGTTTTTTCTTAAATATAATTTTTTCTCATATGTGATGTTGTTGAACCTTATTATTTTTTTTCATTGTGGAAAGATGTTTTAAAATAAAACAATCGTTTTATCAATTCGATAAAGTGACCTTTTTAATATTAGTTTGGTGAAGAAGAAACACATTATTTTTTTATGTTTTTAAACATTTATCAACGATTTATTTAGCTCCTGGTCGATGTTACGGCTGCTAACATGCCGGCCAACTTCGATAATTTCTCCGATTTTATCGACATACGAAACCAAAATTGCACATAGTTGGCTGTTACAGTATCGGAACCATAAACACCATTCACAATTTTAGCCGCTTGACTTGCATTTTTTTGTATTCAAAGTTGTCCTCGGAATGTTGTCGAAGGTTTCTTGGAGGACTGCATTTTCGCCTTCGTCAAAAAAAAAAAAAAAAAAAAAAATTACCAAATTTTCTCTTTGTTCACTTCCATTTTTAACACCCTGTAAATCACAACTGAATGTAAGAAAAAAAAAACAATATAATTATTTTACTGCGAAATATCATAAATCTGAAATTGTTTGACCGATACTTTACGAGAAATCTACCAGTACTGAAAAATAACCGATTTTTTTCCCAACCTAATATTTGTATTAAGATTCGAATCTCTGAAACCTTTTTGATCATTGTAAGTATACCCCCAACCATAAGTGTTGGTGTGTACATTAATTTTTTTTATAAGGTTCAGAATATACACCGATTTTTGGCATTGAAAATGGAATATATCGGTCCACGTTTTTGTATGGCTCCCAAATACTACGTATTGGAAAATTTCCGCTTGTTTTTTATTAACAGAATTGGCTGCAATTTAGAATTTTGAGTTATCATTTTCAACTTACCGGACGCACTATTTCCGTCGACCACTGCATAGCACGTCGCGATAGCGCTTCCTGCCAATCTTCGCATAAGACGGCGGCTCCTTACCATCTGTTGCTGTCATCTTCCTCTTTCGCAAATACCGGTTAGTTCTTTTTGGGATTCCCGGTCTTAGCGGAAGATTCCGACTCGTCTTCCTGATAGCAGAGTCAGCTTCGCCTTCTTTCGTCAATGGATTCTTGTGACAGTATCCTTCGACGTTAGTTTGGCTCAGTTTTCTCGGAAAGTTATTTTTCTTCTTGACGGATTTGACAATCGACTGCTCATCCAGAGACCTTATCCTCTTCGCCGCTTCCGAAGAAGTGGAGGGAAGGTCAGGCATATCCTTTTGAGCCTCTGTTTGCTTCTCGCACTTTTTGTTCATCCGTTTAATTTTGGCCAACTTCCGCCAGACAATTGTTTCTTCCTAGTTTTGAGGTTGGCGACATCTTTACTCACCTCCTCTATCATCTTGTCAGCCTCTTCTCTCTTCGGGCTCTCCAACACAGTTAGATTTGTCTGATTTTCATGTTCAGACTTAGAATTTGAAGTTGAGTCCCCTCCTGTGTGGGAAGGTTGGGTAGATATTGCCTTTCCCCTGTGATTTCTCAACTCTAATTCAGTGTTGCTCGATGGCTGAGTGCACAGGATAATGACGGGGCATTACTCGTGGTCACATCAACGACACCAGCCGGTACTGAGTTATTTAAGCTCTCAACGTAACTTTATTTTCTTTTCCAACTTCTTTTCATATTTTTGTTTTAGCGGAAAACTTCCATAATTATACACGGGACAATTTTTGGCATTGAAAATGGAATATAGCGGTCCACGTTTTTGTATGGCTCCCAAATACTCTGCATTGGAAAATTTCGTCTTGTTTTTTATTAACAGAATTGGCTGTAATTTAGAATTTTGAGTTATCATTTTCAACTTATATATCACCTAGGATATACTAAATTTATTTTTGGTACCGACCACTGCATTTTTATTCGCGATAAAATTCCTGCCAAACTTCGCATAAGACGGCGGCTCCTTACCATCTGTTGCTGTCATCTTCCTCTTTCGCAAATACCGGTTAGTTCTTTTTGGGATTCCCGGTCTTAGCGGAAGATTCCGACTCGTCTTCCTGATAGCAGAGTCAGCTTCGCCTTCTTTCGTCAATGGATTCTTGTGACAGTATCCTTCGACGTTAGTTTGGCTCAGTTTTCTCGGAAAGTTATTTTTCTTCTTGACGGATTTGACAATCGACTGCTCATCCAGAGACCTTATCCTCTTCGCCGCTTCCGAAGAAGTGGACGGAAGTTCAGGCGTATCCTTTTGAGCCTCTGTTTGTTTCTCGCATTTTTTGTTCATCCGTGTCATTCTGGCCAACTTCCGCTATTGTGCCCCAGACAATTGTTTCTTCCTAGTTTTGAGGTTGACAACATCTTTACTCACCTCTTCTATCACCTTGTCAGCCTCTTCTCTCTTCGCGCTCTCCAAGACAGTTAGATTTGTCTGATTTTCATGTTCAGACTCAGAATTTGAAGTTGAGTTCCCTCCTGTGTCGGAAGGTTGGGTAGATATTACCTTTCTCCTGTGGTTTCTCAACTCTAATCCAGTGTTGCTCGATGGCTGAGTGCACAGGATAATGACGGGGCATGACTCGTGGTCAGATCAACGACACCAGCCGGTACTGAGTTATTTAATCTCTCAACGTAACTTAGTTTTCTTTTCCAACTTTTTTCCATATTTTTGTTTTAGCGGAAAACTTCCATAGTTAGTTTTGGTCCGCGGGGACAAAGCCCTGAAGGTGGTTGATCAAACTATTCCATTACATCCAGCATAACTGGTCCGCTACATGGGGCGGATTTTCGGAATTTTGAATATTAATCGCATGGTGGAGGGTATAAAAATTCGGTCGAACTAAACCACTTTTTTATTGTTTTAATTTTGCTTACAAGTTTATATATCAGATAGGATATACAAAATTTATTTTTGGTACCAACTACCGAGTTGTACATTTTTATTAACAATAAAATTAAAAAAAACCCGAGTTCGATTATGTTCACGGTCGATTGCTGTTTTCTTTCAGGCTCACCGTAACGATTTTATCTAAGTATTCTGAGGTACCTACATCCTTTTATTTTCAAAATTTATTTGCACCCATCGACACGAGACTTTGTAGAGAGATTGCAAAGCTATGCGGGATCCAAGGAGATCAAAACCTTTTTGCACAACCAGGTTTTAATTCAATATTGAATATATGCTGATAAAAACAATACCCTAGGTTGCCTAAATCACGGATATGACAATCAATGCTATCGGATCATGTTTTATTCCCACACAAAAATTCAAGATCTCCGAAGTCCTCTTGTCGCGGTAATCTACATCGAGAGTTGTGAAAAATTATGGCACGCAAAAACTCAAGAGTTAATTAAAATTTTTATTTATTTTTCAAGTCACTGCTGTATACCCATACACAATTTAAAAATTGCCGATGCCCTTTTATCGGGATAATCAACATCGAAAGTTGTTAAAAACTGATCGCACGCAAAAGTTCAAGACTTAATTTAAATTTTTTTTAAGAAATTTATTTTTCAAGTCACTGTCAGCAACACAACACATGGTCGTTAAACAGTACTGAGTGGGTATATTCTCAAAATCGACTAACATTCCAATGAGCATGTCAGATGGTTTCACAAATGGGGATATATGGTTCACATTTAGGTATAGCTTCCATTTATTGGCACTGTCCGTTTAGTTAGAATATTTAAAGAGATTCAGCGACATTTACAAAGCGAAGTGATTGTAATTTGTCATTTCGGTTTCTTAGTGGGTAAATCATTTCTTCGCCAAAAGATTATCAACATTAGTCGATGTTTTGACATAGCATCCATATAAAAATCCAGTCCAATTTTATATATTTTGATTGTCCTAGGCAAGTTTTTCAATCAAAGTGGCTGTAATTTGGCATTTCTGGTTCAAAACTGAAGCATTCTATATAAACTTAAATAACACCAAGTATTACATTTCTTCCCAAATACCACAACTTCCTAAGAAGTGCTAATTTATCTACAACAAAAAAGCTAACAATAACAACAACATTAGCAAGTTTATTTACCACGATTTTATTTTTATTTCTTTATTTTGCAGGTTATTCATCCATCCATCCATTTAAAGGGAAATCAATGATGTACCATCAACTATTAAGCGAAAGTTTCTAAATAAAAAAATTGGAAAAAAAACGAACGTGGATCAGATAACAAATAAAACGCGTCAATAACAATCAAAAGTCTTTTGGAGAGGGAGGGGTTAGATTCCAACGAACCACCTGAAGAGACATTAAAAGTATTAATAGTAGTAGCAGTCACAGCAGCAGCAGCAACAGCACCAGAAGCACAAGCATCCATAATCAGATAATGATCAAACATAAAACTCCAACGTTAGTCTTAGGACTAACGTTTGCACTGTTGTTGGCCTGCACCGGCCCCTCGCCAACTGCTGCCCAAGATGATTCGTTGGCCGGTAGTTTTCTATCCGGTCTGTTGGATACCATTACCAGTACAGCCGATTCTAAAGATTGTCCCGGTGTGTGTGTCCACACATTGGCCACACTGATCTGTTACGAGGTGTTGGATGATGTACCATGTCCATCGGCCAGCATGAAATGTTGCATAGAAAGTGCCCCAGCAAAAAATGTTACAGCTCTGTTGAGCAGTAGCAGTAGTACGACAACAACGACGACCACAACAACAACCAGTACAAAACGGCCCACAACTACAACCAGCAAACCCAGACCTAAGATTACAACGACTACCACAACGACACACAAGCCAAAAACAACACAAAAGAAACCGATTACAACAACGGCCACAAAGACAACGACTAAGAAACCTTCGGCGGCAGCAACGACAACAACAGCAGCAGCTGCCACAAAGAAAGTAGATAATAAAGATAATAAGAAGGCTGATGAAAAATCGGGTAAGGTGGAAATGTAGTTACAAAAATATGATTTTAGAATTAATTTATTTTCGTTTTTATTGTTGTTGTATTGCAGTGGACAAATGCAAGGGTGTTTGTGTTACAGATCGTATTGCCGAATATTGTGAAGCCTATTTGACCAGCCCGGATTGGTGTAAAGAGGGTACCAAGTGTTGTGTGTCGTTAGATGATTATGCCAATACAAAAATGCCAAAGGATATTTATATACCAGCTAGTAAGTATTGGGGTTTAACTACAGATTGGGAGCCATTTGGAACCCTATAAAAATATGGTATTTTATATATTCTGGAGTTGTCGTAATGTCAAGGGATGCTATTCCACCAATAAAAGACTTGTGAAGGCCTTAAAGGTTTTTAAAATAATGTGAAAATCAGTTTGAGCGGAGTTGTCCATCGATGGAAGACTTTGAACCACATTCTATGCTATAGAATACCTTATGAAATTAGACTAGGCTGCGGATTCAGGCCTGTTTTTTGCTTCAACCGGCACCGGAGCCGACCCTTAAGAAAATCTATAAAAAATCCAAGATTAAGGGTCCGTAGATGGTAGAGAAAAAATCTTTAAAAATCCACCCTTATCTATAGATGGTGGACAGGGATGGTCCGTATGACAATTTTTTTAGGTTTCCGACTGTCACAAAGGTGTAAACGTCGAAAACGTCATATACCTGTATTAAATGTAAAAAATGTACGTCCAAATATATAAAATAATTTTCATTTATCTGACTATTCCTTACTAGAACTGATAAAAATTGCTAAATATTTTTAAGAAGAAAATTTTGAAATTTTATACAGATTTGAGTAAAGCATACGCAATTTCCAAATTGATTAATGGAAATTGATATTTTGTCAAAAACCTAATGATTTTGGGTAGGTTTCTGACGTTTTTGACGTATGTATTATTCGTCGGAAATGTATGTCATTTACGTCACTATTTCTGACAGACCATCTCTGATGGTGGACAAAAAAAAAAAAAAAAAACACGCTTAAGGGTCACAATTTTTTTTAATATCCTCTTTTAAGGGTCCATAGATGGTAAAGAAAAAAATCCTAAAGGGTCCATAGATGGTAGGGAAAAAATCTACCATTAAGGTTGCATAGACTGTAAAACAAAATCTTTAAAAATTCCTGCTCTAGGGTCCATAGATGGTACAAAAAAAAAAATAAAATAACGCTAAAGGATTCGTTTCGGCAAATCCAATCTTAAAGATCCATGGATGGTAGAAAAAAATGTTAAGGGCCCATAGATGGTAAATCCACGCCTAACGGTCCATAAACAAAATCCATGGATGGTAAAAATTCCTACACCCTTAAGGTCCATCGATGGTGGAAAAAATCTTTAAAAAATCCACACTTAAGTTGGAAGAAATCTTTATAAAATCAGTGCTTTAAGGTCCATAGATGGTAGACAAAAAATCTTTAAGAAACTCCAACTTTAAGGGCCCATAGACGATTGAAAACAATATTTAAAGAATTCACGCTTAAGGACCCATAGGTTATAGAAAAAATATTTAATAAATCCAACATTATGGGTTCATAGATGGTAGAAAAAATGTTTAAAGAATCCACGCTTAGGACCAATATATGGTAGAAACATTTTTAAAAATCAACCACTTACCACTTCAAATCACTAATCTCCTGATTCTCTCCATCTCCTGCAGAACACATGGCCAATTTGGGTAGCTCGCACAATAAAACCAAAACTGTATCCACTGCAAATAAAACTAAAGTTGCATCATCTTCGACATCTTCAACAAGTACCTCCACCAGTACCACAACAACAACATCGACAACTCCCGAACCGGCACGCACAAAAATCATCAGTAGCAGTTCTAGTCAAAATAAACCCGTTAAGACGAAAAAACCTCAACCCACAGCTGCCACAACAACCACTACCACCGAAGATCCCACCGAGGATGAGGAGGAGGAAAACGAAAACGATGAACAACAACAGGACGACGATGAACCCGAAGCAAATGAAAAGAACGAAAATGCAAATGGTCAAGTTCTCAAAGAGTGTGAAGGAGAATGTATGAATGGTATTTTGGCCATTTTCTGTGATGACATTGATTCCGATGCATTCTGTCCGAATGAGGGTAGTTGTTGTATTACAGGCCAGCCGACAGCACAAACCTCACCCGCCACTAAGGTTAACCCTACAAAAGCACCAAACAAAACAGCCGCAAAGCCTTCACCCAAACCTGCACAGAAAAAAACACCACCTCCACCACCCTCTCAATCAGGAGGTGGCGGCGGCGGAGGCGGAAGTGATTTGTTCTCTCAATTAATTTCGTTTGCTGAAAATACCTTAAGTGGTGCAGGCGGTGGTTCTCCCGAACCAGCACCTACCTCACAGGCACCACCCAAAGTACCACGTTGCCCAGGTTTCTGTTTGCTCAACATAATGGCTGCCTTCTGCGAACGCCCTTCAGTTTTGATATCAGGTCCGACTACATGTTCCAAGGGTTCGGTGTGCTGTGATAATTCTCGTTCGGGATCCCCTAAACCACCACCACAGACCAGATATCCACCCACAACACAACCACCACCGCCAACTCAACCACCCTATGTTGTGCCGAATACCCCGTTGCCGGATCCTCGTGAAGAATGTCCTGGCTCTTGTATTGTCAGCCTGCTTAGCTTTACATGCTTCAAAAATGCTGAAATGACCGACCTGTTCAAGTGTAAACGTTCCGGTCAAACTTGTTGTGCTCCCAAGAGTAAGATTCTCGAAAAGCAACAATTCCAAACACGTAACGATACTGCTTACGGTCATTATCAGCCATTGCCTCCACCTCCCCAAATTGGTGTACAACAATATCCACCACAGTCGGTATATCCACCACCGCCACCCTCGGCCTATATGCCAACCCAACAACCACAAATGCATCTTCATTATCCACCTCCACCACAACAGCAGCCACCGATGCAAATGCCACCTCATCAGCCAAGTTATGATTATTCGGCTTATGGACCAGGTATTCGTAAGTATTGGAATTTTCATTTACACCTATTACAGCAGATATTGGACGTTATTTTTATAACTTTTTATTCATTTTTTTCAGTTCCCCATCAAGGCGGTATTCCCCCACAATTACAGCCACAACATCAACACTTGCCTCCACCACCACCACCCCAACCGATCAGCACCATACCGACAACTACAACAACGACGACCACCACAACAACAACCCAACGACCACATGTCTATTCGAAATATGTTTGCGGTGTGAAGGGTACTTTGCGTACTGGTCGCTCATCCCCAGCTCTATCATTGGTCTCGTATATCCGTGCCAAATATGGCGTCCATCGTCAATCACGCCAGCTAAGTGAAAACTTCATAATGCCCAGTGGTATGCAAAAGACAAATGAGCGTCTAATCCTAGGCTCCGATATTGTACCCATACAAATACACAATGATAAGCTGGGTGATTTGGTGCAGGACGAAGTTGCTAATTATAATCAGGTCCGCTCGTATACTGATGATTATCAGGCGGCGGTATTTGCCCAAAATTACTTCGCCAATTATAGCACATCGGGTCGCAGGCGAGCTCGTGTTGTTGGCGGTGAAGATGGTGACAACGGTGAATGGTGCTGGCAGGTGGCTTTGATTAATTCCATGAATCAGTATTTGTGTGGTGCTGCCCTTATTGGTACCCAATGGGTGTTGACGGCGGCTCATTGTGTCACAAAGTGAGTAGTGTGGAGTTAGGGGAGATTTTTCAATATGGAATAATTTTATTTTCTCTTTCTTTAACCTTCTAGTATTGTAAGATCAGGTGATGCCATTTATGTACGTGTTGGTGACTATGATTTGACCCGCAAATATGGCAGCCCTGGAGCCCAAACATTACGTGTGGCCACCACATATATTCATCACAATCACAATAGCCAAACATTGGATAATGATATTGCCCTGCTGAAGTTACATGGCCAGGCGGAACTGAGAGATGGTGTTTGTTTGGTAAGTTGTCGGGAACCTAGAATGCCTAATTACAAAATAGAAGAAATCGGGCGGTATCGTTATTCGAGGGGAAGTTGTTGACAAATTAAATATTCGTTCTAAAAATGCCATATGGGGTATAAAAGTGGAAAGGAGATTTAGCAACAGAATTTTTGGATAAAGTCAGTTGAGTTAATAATGTGCCTCATTGAAATGCGGAAGTAGTTTCTTATGATTCTGAATAAGTGTACTATGCTTTGCACTGTCTGTTCGCCCATCATTCTGATTTCAAACTAAAAACAAATTCGAATGAGGAGCCACTCCTCTGAGTTTTTCAGCTCTGAAGTTAACTTGGGATAGATATCAAATTTGAATCAAACTTGGTAGGTCGTAATATTTTTATTATTGTTGGCCTTAGTTCCTGAACCAGTTCGATGTTTTTTTTGTTCAATCCGTTATGTTTTTTTGTTCCATAGTTTTAGTTCAATTGTTCATTAGTCCACGTCAGATAATTTGGCCACTGAAATCTAGATGAACGATTGCCTCAAAAAGTATTGGGTGATCGAAAACAAAAAGGAACGAACGGAAGCAGTATGAACTAGATGAACGAATGAACCGGAACTAGTACCGATCGTTCCTTTTACTGAATATTTCATTTGAACGACCCATCTGTAATTTGTAACTGCCATACACATATTCTGGTACGTTCTCCTAAACGATTTTTGTATAGAGTTCTATATTTAGATCAAGTTCGACAATTGACAATATCGGTGACATCTCTTCCGAAATTTGTATACTCAAGTTATACAAGTTAAAAAGCGTCAGATTTAATATCAATCAAATCGGTTATTCAATTTGCTTCATATTTATAAAATAATGGCCTTTAACGAGGGAGGTATTCGGATTTCATCTAGGCTTGGTAAAGATAATAGGTTGTGCAAAGTTTGGTTCAAATCGGACATTCCATTCGCCTGATGTTGGATTCATAAATATTGAAAATGTTGACCCATTGTGAGGGAGTAGTGGACCAAAGGGTCCCATCTTCGAATTTGATCTTGGCTTGGTAAAGATAATGTTGACTCTTTATGGGGGAAGGGAAGAAGGAGTGGACCAATGGTTTCCGTCTTCGGACTCGATTTAGGCTTGGCAAAGATAATAGGTTGTTCAAAATTTGGTTCAAATTCCTTTCTCCTAGTTTAATTAAAATTGTTGACCCTTTGTGTGGGTGGTACCAAAAGTAGTGGGCCAATGGGTTCCATCTTCGGACTTGATCTAGGCTTGGCAAAGGTAATAGATTGTACAAAGTTTGGTTCAATGCGGATAGTCCATTTGCATGATATTAAGAAAAATCAATTTTTGTACAATTTTTACCATTTTGCTGGCTGCGATACCAAAACTAGTGGACTGATATTCTCCATCTTCGAACATGAACTAAGTTTGGAAAAAATATTATGATGTGGAAAGTTTAGATGAAATCGATTACTCCCTTCGCGAGTCGGCCAGACGGACGGACGGACATTTATAAATCGACTCCAAATTGTCTGAAATGGTTTTGGTCCAAAGAAACTTGCGGTCTAAAACTAATATTTCGATGATGCACATAGGACCTCATAGGACCATGAAAATATTTAAACGGAGGCGAGATTTCTAAATGCTCCTTGTACCATTAAAATGCCTATATTTATAATTTTCTTATAAAAAGTTTTTCAGCAAAAAAAAAAAAAAGCTTGATGTCAAAATATAATAAAATTGGTCGAAAAAATTCAGACAATGTTTTGGGAAGTAGTTGTTTATTTGAAAATTCGCATAGCATAATCAACCTTCCGAAAATATAGCGGACCTTTTAAAACACTCTGCGAAAGTTGTTTTTCATCCACCAAAAATCTGGGATGTTAAATGTCTACTATCAGGGACGTACGCAGGGAGGCGGCCTGGGGGGCCTGAGAGGGTATACCAAAACGTGGGCCAACATATTTTTATTTTATCTTAAATATTGCATTCGGAGAGGTTGTTCGTCAGGATAGCATGAGTGAGGGCTATAATTAGTTCAGATTGGCATTTCCCTTTAAAAGGGTTTCTACTGATCTGATAGTGGGCGAAATTCTATATACATTGTATTGCTAAGTTGGTGACAGCAGGTCTTATATCAATAGATCAGCCTAGTCAGGCCTTCTGCCGATAGTGCACAATTATTACCACTTCTCTTAATGTTGTATCTTTTTTAATTTTACTTCTTAACAGTAGGAGGCCTTATATAAATCAGCTAAGGTCTTCTTAATATTTCATATTAAGAGTAGAATATCAATGGACAGTTCATTCATAGTCTAATAATTCTTATACGATATGCTGACTGACACATCATCTCGAAGGCCTTCTTCAGAACTTATTAACTTAAAAATAATCTAAAAACCACTTTTTTTTAATTTTATTTTATTAACTAATTATTTTTCCGTTTACAGGTTTGTCTGCCCGCCCGTGGTGTAAGTCATGCTGCCGGTAAACGTTGTACCGTAACCGGTTATGGTTATATGGGAGAAGGTAAATTTTTCTTTAATTATTATATTAATTCTCATTAAATATTCTCTTCAATAGCTGGTCCAATTCCATTGCGTGTACGTGAAGCTGAAATTCCCATTGTCAGTGATACGGAGTGTATACGCAAGGTGAATGCTGTAACGGAGAAAATCTTTATTCTACCCGCTTCCAGTTTTTGTGCTGGCGGTGAAGAGGGCAATGATGCCTGTCAGGGTGATGGCGGTGGTCCACTTGTCTGTCAAGATGATGGTTTCTATGAGTTGGCCGGTTTGGTGTCGTGGGGCTTCGGTTGTGGCCGTGTCGATGTACCCGGTGTTTATGTCAAAGTGTCATCGTTCATTGGTTGGATTAATCAAATCATAAGTGTCAATAATTTATAGTCACATCAAAAGGAGTCTTGATAGGTTTCGTTTTTTTTCTATATTTTATTCGGAAATAAGTTTTAAGTGAGAAACAAAAAAACCAACAAATCACAAATATTGAATTATTCTACTCGTCTTGTACTCGCTTTGTGTGTGAGTATTCTACGAATATAAATGATTCGAATAGAGTACATATGTATTTGCAATATATAAATATTTATATATAAAGTATCGAACTTATATGTAATATGAATATAAGTACCAAAAACAAAACAAAAACATAAAGCAATGCATACATATATTTATTTCTCTTATTAAACGAAATACGACTGTTATTTTTTATTTGTAATTTTAAAATACGTATCTATATATTATTTTACGTTTCTCTTAATCATTTAGTATAGCCTACATGCATAAATATGTGGGTAATTATTACTAATGTTATTTTAAAGTAATTCGTTTTCTTTAAGACTTGTATTCACAAAGCAACAACAGCAACAAAAAAACACAACAAAAAATATCTATATAAACTACGTGAACAAACATTAAATAAATAATTTGTATATATTTTATAAGTATTTTTATAATAAATAAAAATAAATAAATATTTTTATAATGATTATTTTTTTGGTTTTTGAAACTACGAGGGCGAATCAGAATCTTCAATGAAAGAGAAAAGTTAGTTTTTCAAAAATATTTATATTTTTCAATATAATCTCCTGAAACTTCAATACACTTAGTCCAACGCTTTCTTACCAATTGTATCCCTTGATTAAAATAGTTTTCCTTATGGTCTTCAAAATAGTTCATTTGAGGTAAAACGCTTGCCAGCAAGGATTTTTTTTTTGAGCTAGGGAGACTAAGGTGGGTGGTCAAGCAACTCGTACTTTATTTCGTTGATTTTAGCCATTTTTAAAACACTCTTGTGCGCTGGTGCGTTGTCTTGATGGAAAATATTTGTATGCGTTGTAAGCCAAGACATTTTTCTCGAATTTGTACATTTAATTGTTCCAAAAGGTTGCAATAGTATTCTGAATTTATTGCTTTACCCTTTTGCAGATAGTCAATCAATAAAATATATTTGAAGTCCAAAAAAAAAAAAACCGTTGCCATAACCTTAATAGCCGATTGAATTGTTTTTGCCTTCTTTGGGGCACTTCCTCCGGCTTCAGTCCATTGTTTGGATTGTTCTTTTGACTCTGGAGTATAGTGGTGGATCCATGTCTCATCCATTTCATTTTGCTTAAAACGATTCAAACAAGCTTGAGAAATGTTCATTCTTATGCGTTTTTGATCGACCGCACCCATCTTGCAGAAAGATTTTTTATCTGTAGTTCTTCATGCTAAATTAAATGGACTCGATCGATGCCCATGATATTAGCAAATTCACGTACTTTTATTCGTCGATCATTTAATACCATATTATGCTCTTTGGCTACTATTTCTGTTGTTGTTGCTGGGTTTGGACGTCCACAACGTGGTTCATCTTCAATGCTTGTACGACCACGTTTAAATTCAGGAACCCAATTGTTATACCCTAGGCAACTATGTTGTCAGTGTATTATAGCTTTGTGCAGCCCCAAGAGTTTGCAACGCCGCAAAATATTGGTCAAGACCCACATTTGAGTATACCTATCGTCATATATCGACTAGCTGAGTCGAACTAGACATGTGGGTCCGTCCGTCCATTATAATTTGTAAACACGATACACAGACCACAGTTATAGACAAAACATCACGAAAATTTGCATGTAGGATGGGTTCTGGCCAATGAAGATCATTTAATATTTAGGGGATGAAATGGATCAAAAACTTTATTTTTTGACTGATTTTCTGATCGCTCCCGAGGCGAAGGGAATCGGGCCAAAGAATAAGCATGCCTGTTTTGATATAGATCGGTCGGAAAAATGACAAAATTTGTATTCTATAACGTATATATTTACCCCTGAAGGACATAGACCCGAGAAGTTGATAGAATATGTAATAGGAGTGGTTGACCATAAAATTGATTTCAATTATATTATCGTATGTACTCTGATGTGGGAGTTATACTTCAATATTTGCGTATTCATATATTATTTAATAACCCATTACCACATTAGAAGGTGGAAATATAGCGCTGATCCCGCTGATAACGCCTACAATTTTCGTTGATAATCAGATAATAATTTTGGGATGAATTGAACAGAAAACTTAATTTTTGTGTTTTTTTTCGAGTCCATCTATAGGCCACAATTGGAAGCCGAACATCACAACACAACCCACGGTGAAGGTAATTTGAACAAGTAATTAGAAGGGCTGAGCTGCATAGAAAATTTTGAGTTCCGTGATAGTTGTGTAGGATTTTGTATGGGGAAGGAACTTTATTTGCAATATATACAAGTGGGGCGCTTTAGATTTCTAAAGTTTTATTTTTCATCCGATAAAAGTATAATTTAGAAATGAAAATTCTATGTGTTGAATCAATTAAAAAAAAATACTAGTATACCAACAATTTTAAAGTTTAAAAAAATGTGCAGGTAATGTAAGGGTATACCCTTACCCTTATTTTGAGCTGTATGGGTTTATTTACGGGGGATTTTGAAGGGGAAGGGATTATTTGCAATATATACAAGTAAGGACACTTTACCCATATATTATAAAAATACTGTAAACGGTATTTCCTATTCTTTGCCATCCAGTAGCAAGAGTAGGTTCATACTGCCTGGCGCTGCGTATAAATTCGACCTGTGACGAAGTTCTCCTTTCTTAATATACTTGCCAAGGGAATTTTTTCCACCCTCAGACAATGAACACAATTTTGTTGTAATTATTAGATTTTGAAAAGCTGGTCCACAAAACGGATACATCTTTCTTAGTCCTTTCCTCAAAAAATAACCAGTTCATATCGTTTCTTATTGTTCATATGACATTGAATGATGAAATCATTTACCCCATGTTTATCTTGCAGCACTTCGATATATTCATTCGCAGATTTAGGCATGATCGTCTTCCAGCTGAAATCACGATATTTGATATTGAAAAATATATCGGTTCCTATTTTGACCTAGCCTCCATATAAAGATTCCAACCCATTTTTTGTAGTTTGAGGGTAACAAATATTCTAACAGAGAATTTAATATATGTGCCAAGGGAATTTTTTCCACCCTCAGACAATGAATACAATTTTGTTGTAATTATTAGATTTTGAAAAGCTGGTCCACAAAACGGATTCTTTCTTATTTGAAAAAATACACACAGCATATCGTTTCTTATTGTTCATATGACATTGAATGATGAAATCATTTACCCCATGTTTATCTTGCAGCACTTCGATATATTCATTCGCAGATTTAGGCATGATCGTCTTGTTAATAGTCTATCCGCGACACTTACTTGACATTTCAGTTTTTTAAACGAAATATTCCGCACTGAAAAGATAGGTACTGGATTGTAAGTAAAATTTAATATGGAACTAAATAAACGGCTTAGTTACTATTACGGAGCAAAACGAAAGAGGTCGACCCGCTTCAAAATTTCTTTTTTTTAATAGACGTGTACAGTATAATTTCACGTACGGCCATGTTTTGTGTTGGGTTTCTTTACTGGGATTTGAAAAATCAATTTGCAACAACAACAAAACTAACTCATGAACATTTTCATATGATTATTTTTCTCATCCATGGAAGTGGATTATAACCTCAAGAGTACTTCGAAAAACTTAAATTCATATTACAACTTTGTGAAAAACAGATTTAATCAATGAAGAAGGTCGTGCAAAAACTGTCGTTGTACCATAACACCATGAACGGATAATGCAAAAATGTCTTACAACAACTGCCAAAGGTGTAGTACATTTGGCATTCGTAAAAAGTACTATGAATAAAATCGATTATTTCAACATTTGTTTAAACATATTTATAATTAGCGGGCCCGGCAAACGTTGTCTTGCATAGCAATATTGTTGTTGTAATTCACATAACGATAACCCAATATTAAGTTAGTTTTATCTACCCTCCACGATTTGAGATAGTGCTCTGAAATTTGCGCATACATTGCTACTACTCCTAGGATATTTGGTTTGAAAATGTTCAATATTAATTCACTATTTAGGGTAGCGCCCACACAACGGTAATTCACAACTTTTTCTGTCTAATTGATTGGCCCATGTATCGGGGTACCGCCCGTATAATGGCAGCCCTAAACATTCCGTATTTTGAAGATCTTGTGCACGGTTATCCACAGAAATGATTTTTATTTAATATACGGGATACTTATTGGACAGAAAATCCATATTGGCCCAATTATGCAGATAACTCCTTAATATTCGGTATTGGGCTGTAATTTTATATTTTGGATGATCATTGAGTAGAAAATATTCCTAACAAAATTTGCCCAAGCTTCTGAAAAGACTCCATATAATGGCACTCCAACTGGGCACGTTTTTCAACCTAATCAGCTGTTTTATTTAGTAGCATGAATCCTACTAAAAATTATCAATATTGGCCCACTCCTCTGTATTTTAGGCTGTAATTTTATATTTTAGATGATCAGTGAGTACAAAATCTCCTTACAAAGAATTATCAATATTGCACCAAGTTTCCGGGTAACACTAATATCCCCATAATTTCTCATGTGGTGTCATATCCTAAAAATAATATATCTCCATTCTCACTGTAGTAGCTAAAATATGTCATTCCGGGATATTGGGGGTGAGACACATTTTTGCGAAAAATTATTTATTAAGGTCCAAGTTGTGATATAGCTATAATCAGGTCTCGCCCCATTTTTTGTATGGTAATATCAACATTTCAGGTACTTTAAGGAACAACATGTTCCTATTATTATTATTACGGCATGGATCTTAGAATCCGAATACCCTTAATGGACAGGCACTTGATTCAGAATGTCTTCTGATTAGTTCCAAAATATACGTGCATTCTACAATGATCGCGTGTACATTCAATGATATACTTCTCAATTATTTGTTATATTCTCCAATTGAAAAAAAAAATTAAATATTTTGAAAATTTTCAATAATTGACAAATTAAGGCTT